ACATACTTACAATTATTGTTTGAATCTGAGAAATCTATAGTAGTATACTCTCTATTGATACTAATATTTCCAGTTCTAACAAATTTTTCATTGCTATTGTTGAGGTATTTATCAATATGATAATATTCAGGATTTGATAGCCACTTTAATATATAGATCTATCCTGAATATTCAACAATTCTATTGCCTTGCCGATGTAATTCTATAAAAATAACTATGTATGCTACATTATTTAATCATTTCCATAACTATTATCTCTTTTTTTCTACCCAAATTTGTGAAAAATAATGATCATACAATATAGGAAGATTCTGATAATATGCAGGCATATTTTTAGCTTGAATTCTATCTTCATAATTAATTCCTACCAAAAGATAACTGAGATCCTATATATAGTCTATATATCAATTATCAGGAACTCTTATTTTGCGAGGAGTTATATCTAGAAACTTCTTCTTGTTAGGAGTACCATCATTTCTCACTATATTCTAAACTCGTTTTGCCCATGTATCAGATCTCAACTTGAAAACTCTCCAAGCTCGTTAGATTATTTTTGTACTATTAAATATATGATATGCAATCTTTTTTCACAATTCATAATCTGCATCACATTTAATACTATAACCCTGACTAGAAAAATCAGTAAATTTACTATAAATCTCATAAATTCCATCTTTACTTAGTTCTGATGCTATTCTTTCTCCTTTTTTCATATTCTTTCGTACAGGATTAGAATGCATTTTTAGCGATTTTAGTAATACATTTCTTCAGGTGATCATTGTCACATTTGATGGTATTTTCATGGATAATTACTAAGGAGTCGCATACAGTGCAATAAATATTAAATGAGTGTCTTCCAGCTTTAAATTTTCCATTTTTATATACTCTTTTAATCATTTGAATAAAACCATTCTTAGAGAAGTATTTTGGATTATATTCAAGAAGTTTCTTAAATGTATAACAAATACGAGAATATCACATTTCTGGTATTTTACCACTATACCTATATTGCAAATTGTTCAATGCCTGCATTACTACAGGATTTAAACCAGAAATATTAGTTTTAACCATTTTTATAGTTTATAACTGATCTTAGTGATTTATAGCGTTTTAGTAAATTTAGCAATTCAGTATATTATATTGATTCTTTATCAACGCATTACCTTATTCGTATAAGTGACACGTATTTAAAAAGTTTAGTTCTCCTTAATAACAGAAGCAATTTGATTAGTATACTGTATAAATATGATTATAAAGCTAGAGTTACCTATTGTTATCACTGGCAAATAATATCTTCAAAATCTTCCTTTTGTCCAGCTGAAATAGTTTGGCAAAATTAGTATATGTTCGTAATTACGGCGGTATATAATTTCTGTTTCGATGCAATTGAATTATAGACTTTGAAAATGCCAGCATAGTTAAGAATCATTTTTATTGGATAATAAATGTATTATATAATCAATTAATGTGATTGGTAATTTATATTAACAAGTTACTTTAAAAAAAGCAAAAAAGGTTACTTAGTATAGTCACGCGAAAATTTATAACACTACAACCTATAAATTTGTAAGAAGGTTCAGTGTATTCTTTACTACACTGATCAAAAAATAGTTTTTTCTGATCTTATTTTAGTTTTGACTTTGTCTAATAGTAATGGCAAGAGGAAAAATACGTCAGAATAATAGTCCTTGTGCTGTATGTGACTTGTAAAATTCTAAAGAAATTTTCAGAAAATTAACTGAAAACCTACTAGCTAAAGCAATAAAAAGTCCTGCCGCCCAGCAACTTACATTAAATCTCAACCTTAATGACCAATTATGTTAACTTCATTACAATAATTTTATTGCTTATGATTGAAGAATAATTAAATCAAAGAAAAAAAGAAAAAATACTGATTTGTCATATTATCCAGAAGGGTCTAAACAAAGAAAAGTTTCTCTATCACAAGAAATATACGATAAACTTACACAGCAAATAGAAGACTTAGAACTCCAATTAAATCAGGTAGAGAGATCAAAAGAATTAGGTAATTTTTTTTTATTTTTTAAATTCAAATTAATCTAAATTTTTACTTATTATTATTTATTTATTGTTAAATTATTAGGATTGAATGATTTTTCAGAGTTTTTTTCAGATAAAATTAAACAGATCACAGATGTTTTATATAGATATTTTTGTGAAAAAAATTTGCCAGTTTGGAATGCAACAGAATTTGAAGAATTAATTGAAGGTCATGATACATTACGATACATAAATTAAGGGTTTTTTTGATATGATCTTCTGATCTATGAATCCTAAAAGCAAAAACTCACAGACGCAACAATTATTAAAGCAAAACGTTATGCTACTATGTTACCAAATTGCAGCAATGCGTAACAAGCAAGTTAGTTGTGCCAAAACTGCAATTGGATTATTTTTAATTAATTCAGAAGCATCAGTAACTTGTATAAATGCTTTAGCAAATATGGGAATATGTTTAACATATCAAACTTTATTTAATAAACTTGAAACTATTGCAGTTAATCATCAATCTAGTATACAAGTATATATTCAAAAACATGTAAGAAATAAATTTGTATTTTTTAATATTTAAATAAATTCTAATAAAATATACATTTTATTTAGCATAATAAACTTATAATAGATTGTATTGATGACTATCATAATCTACAAAGTACACAAATTCCTTCTGTAACTTCTAAAGATCAGATATTACATATGGCTACTATATTGCTTAATACTAGTGGAGCACCACCGATTCCTTATTATACTAATAATCATTTACCTATACATAATCCAAATGGTGTGGATTCACTTATTATTAAAATAGCACTTTAGACTACACATCTTATTCCTTTGGCTAAAAGTTATAATTCAATAAAATTTAATTGGAATAATCTTTCTGAAGGAGAATTGATGGAATCATTGACTGTACATTCATATGATGCGGATTTGTGGGAAAGGTATGGACGAAAATTCGATCAGACAAAACTTGTTGACTTACTGGAATTATCGTTAAAAAATACTAATAATTATATTCAGGCAATTCAATCTTTTATTGAGTATGTAATTAATTGTGTAGTTTTTTATAATTATAAAATTACTTATAATAATTATTTTTAAAGATTACCTGAAATAAAAACCTATTTAGAATATTATATTATTTCTGTTCCTGCAGATTTTCCTGGACAATTGTTAATTAGAAGAGCAATTGTTAATATTTTGGAATCTGATAATAATGCGTTAATATCAAACAAGATCACACACCTAATTCCCTTTCTTAGTCTATTGCATGTTTTACTCAACAGTCGTGAATCAATCAGTCTTTCTGGTTTTTGGTATTTTTTTAATCAATTATATTTAAAAATATTTGACGCTAAAAAAAACTTGCAGCCAAGCCAAAACCTTGGCGAATTAATTTACTAATGTATTTAGCGAGTTCAGAATGGAATCTTGTAAAAAATATTATAATAGCAAGATTCGGTAATACAAAATCTACTGAATATAGATATTTTTTGATTTACTCAATAATCTTATTCCTGCAATATAAGACATTTATACAGTTCTCTTTTGAAATAATAAATTTGATGAATATGTTGACACAGTATTTCGTTTGTAATGCATAATGAGGAGATTTTAATGTTACAATTATGACAAGATTCTCCTTGCCTTTTTATCTGATGTGTATTATTGGAAATCAATAAATCACCCCATTATCGAAACTTTGAAAAATAATTTGAATATGTTTGATGAATATATTGTTGAAAATTTTCACAGTCTTTTATGGAGACACACCACATCAAAGGTTTCTTCAAGTAAATCTCTTAGGTGCGATGCTCTATTTATTGATAACTTTCAAAATGAAAATTTATTTGCTACATCATTTGTTCCAAAATGGGATTATCTATATAAAAAAAAGATTTGGATGAAATGATCAAACGAACTGCTCTTTTTTTATTGAATTTCTTTGATGAGATTTGAAAAAATAATGGTAAGGTAGAGAAAAAAATGGAAGGAAAAAGAACAAAAAAACCCTATTATTATTTTGATCCTATTTCTACAAGTTTCCTTCTTGGTGCTTTGCCTCTTGGATATCACTCGCCTGTACTTTCAAATATGAAAAAGTTTTGTGACAAAAAAATTTGTAAGAATTCAACAAATGAGAAAGGCGAAGTTTTGATATGTAGTCATGCATATCATAAAGAATGTTTTCGGGTAGTGAGTTTAAAATGTGAACATTATTATAAATACTTGGATAAATCTATTGATGAATTAACAAAATCATATAATCAAAGATTGCATTTGGAAGAAACTCAACTAGAATTAAATGATGAGGAAATAGATGAAGATAATTGTGAAGTTGAGGAGTCAGATAATTATAAACTGAAGATTGAAGCTGATTCTGAATTACAAAAAAGAATTATAGGTACGTTAAAATATTGTATTAAAAAACTTTTTTAAAAATTCTAATAAATTGTACTTTTTAGAGTTTTCAAACCAAACTCTTTCCTTCATAAACCCACACTAAGCGTTACAGAATATAACTAATATCTTGCCAAATATATTATAATGTGTATTAAAACTATTAAAACTAATATTTTGTAAAATAAAGTTTTCGTACAATGATTTTTGTTCTTTTTTTTATTAAAATTTAATTGATTAATCAATGTTGATCATCACGTGAAATTAAACCAATAAATGGATTTTTAACCATGCTGTCCGAATGATCCGCAAAATTTTATTTTTTTTTACTTTACTAGAACATAACGCTATTTTTTTATCTGAGCCAAATATAGCGCTATGTCTGAAACTTGATATACTAGTTTCTTCCACTACTGCTACTGGAAATGAGACGGTCACACTGGTAGAAGAAATTAAAAATATAAAACAAATGAGCTTATCAACTTCTTGAGTAATGAGGACTTGGAAATTATTCACAAACACAAGGTTAATAGTCGTGACTTCTTGTCTTGACTAAAGAAAAGCTTGAGTAATAGGGAATGCTAGGTGGACTAGCAATGAGACTCATAAAGCTCGCCAAAGAATGTGAGAGAGCAGTGTATAACAGAGATAAAATGCAGAATGGGAATTATAGGTTCGGCAACAGACAGTAATGAGGCTAACTGTTGCGAGTATATTACTTTAATATTATATGCATCCATCTATATCGCCAAAAGAATCACTGAGAAAGAAATTATCATGGACCCGCAGTTCGATATTGTAGGTAAAGAAGCCTCAGGCTGGGTCGATTACGCAATCAAAAAAATAATAGTTGTCGTTAATGAGAAGTTGATAACTATAATAGAGGAAAACAAAAGAATTTGGTGGCGGGATATATGCAGAACATAATGCAATTCGAAAGCTCTTACCATACAAACACGAGAAAAAGGAAAGCATCTGTAGCATTTAATGATGAGTTTGACTACCTCTATGGAATTGTGACCACAGGTAGAGCTTGTATAATTTTTTTTTTATAAATAGTTCATATATACTAACTTGTGTCTTTCTTTGTTAAGCCTCGGATTGGTACTTTCTCATGTACACACCAGATAAGATTTATTGCTTGAAAGATGACTATCACATAGTTACTTACCAAGAAAATAATGAAAGATGACGCAGAACTTCGTCAAGGTGTTAAAAAGGTTATAGAGGTAATCATTGGCTTGTTGAAAGATAAGGTTGAAGTTAATGATTCTTCAGATAGTAAGAGAGCAAAGACGAAAAAATTTATTAAGGAATGAGCGTGTAAGTTATAGCATAGAAAATTTATCATGTATCACGGTGTTAGTGATAACCCGTTTGCGTCACTAGATGACTACGCCAACTAATGTCACCAATGATCACTAGGAAAAGCGTGATCATCATTTTCACT